CCTTAATAAAACACCCTCAATTTTACCCCAACAATGACGTATGTTTAATTTAAATTTTTTTCTTTACATAAGATCTCCCAGTTTACATATTTTCTAGAGAGTCATGAAGCTTACATTTCAGACAGCACAGAGTCTAGATCCAGATTGCTTGAAACTATGCCACTTATTAGGCTTGTGATTGTGAACAATTTACCTCTGTGTTTATTTCTTTATCTGCAAAATGGGGGTTATAATAGTACCTGTATAGTAAAGTTGTTATGAGGGTTACATGAGTTTAGTGTCTATATACCTCTAGTATTTGATAACTTGGCATCAAACTTCTCATGATAAAGATGCTACTTGTTTATTATAATGGCTCTATAGCACATGAAGAAAGATGCTGGAACCAATCAGCACTTTAAGAGCACCATAGGGTATAAATTTGCTAGGGTTTCTTTGGAAACTTGAGGCTTATTAATTCCATCCATGCCTTGTAAAAACTCTTCACCCTTTGGAGTGCCACAAGTGCAAGGCTTTCTAATTCCTCATCCACACACATACTCATTCCTTTATTGCTGTGTACTTCCTTTCCACTTAGTCCTCTGACACTAATCTCTTACCAAACCCTTTATACTGGTCCCTCTGGAAGTCAAGTTTCATTGTAAAAAACATACCTGTGTCCACAGTATCTTAACAGAGTGCTCCCCCACCTTCCACCTCTTTCCTTTACTTGAAATCTGACTTTTCTCCAAGGACATCCTTTTCTTTTTAGCCCTTTACTATAGGCTGCTCACTCTTGAATATTTCTTGTGTCACAGGGTCATGATATAGCGTCAGTATTTTAGCTCCCTTCTGAAAATCTCCATTCCTTCACAAAACCACTCATCCTTGAAAGGTCATGCCTTTTAGCTATATTACCATTCACTGAGCCTCATTTCCGTTCTTCAGGTCACAGTCTCCACATTCATTAGAGATTTGGGCACTTGGCTTATAGTCTCTCTCTCTACTCCAGCTTCTGCTTCCAGTTGGGATGACTTCAGCATCTCTGAGTGGTCATACAGTATCCTGGTTCTATAGACAATTTGCATCCTTATGTCAATGACTGTCAACATCATTTCAATAACCTAGTGTTATAGCTACATTTTTTTTTTTAAAGTAGGTTTTCCTCCAACTTCTGTGCACGTTCTTTTCTTTACACTCTCACTGGGTGGTCCCATCCATGTTCATATCGTCACCTACCACTTATTTATAAATGAATTCCAGCCCTTACTTCTCTTTACAATTATCAATCTCAAAGTGATCCTAGATTCATCCTGCTGTTCCCCCACTCCTTATATCTATCTGATATTTAAGTCTTTTTACTGTTTTTATATACTCTGGGAACCATTTCCTTCTTATAATTCCCACGGTAACTGCCTTAGTTGAGGCTTTTT